TGAGGCTTCCTAGTTCGAACTACCGTTACTGCTCGTGGAATGAGGAGTAACGGTAGTTCGAACTAGCGGGGTAGTGTAGACATACCCTGAGAACTGTCTGTCCGGGTGGGGGTCGGGTCCCTTTAAGCACAGCCCTCGGCTAGCCTGAGGCAGCAGCTCCACGCTCCACTAGTTTTTTAGTCTGGATCTGTTAGTTCGAATTAGCTTAGTTCGAATTAACTAAGTCGAACTAAGTTAGTTCGAATTAGCGCTGTAGTGTAGACATACCCTTTGAGTTCTTTGAAGGGGTTAACAAACATGCAGATAAGGGGGATCCAGTAGATAGAGTGTACTTAGATTTTCAGACAGCCTTTGACAAGGTCCCTCACCAAAGGCTCCTGTGTAAATTACATTGTCATTTAATTTTCCAACAACTGTATTACTGCTTTCCTTATTCCTTTTATTTTGCCCATCCAGCTCCAAACATTTATATTCCTCTTTGACATGCCTTTTCCTTTTTATGGTCCGTCTGGATTCCTGCTAAATGACTTTTCCCAATGACACAGGTTTGTTCAGTATTCATTTGGTAAGGAGAGTGGGCTTTTTAATTTGCCCGCACACCTCCTGAGTCCTTTCAATAGGTAAATCCATATTTTCATTATTGCAGTCAGCTATTCCTAACTTTTAAACTTCTTACTACAGGGGTTTGCATAACAGCCAAGCTGCAGCATGGTTGATTTATGCTGCTAACTCTGGGGAGGATCACTTCCCCATGCTCTATAACGGGATCTATGTCACAGAATGTGTCTCCTTGTTAGAGCAGATTTAGCTTCTAGTGATTACATCTTCAAATTCAATTTCTACCGGTGGACTTTAGGGTGGCTTTTAGGTTACTTCCTCCCACACCCTCAAGCCAATTATAACAGCGTGTGAGGGGAAGGTTTTAACTGTTTATTAATATTTTTTTTCTGGACGGCCCCCACTCGTGCATTGTGAAACATCCTTGGGTTGCCTGCGATTCCAGTCGAAGAGGCTGCAGTTATCTATTTGCTAACAGGGGCTTGAGAATTTCCTGAAGTTGCATGGCAGCCCTTTTCTCCTCCTGCATTGTGTTTTGTATATGTTTCCAATCAAAATGCGTAGGGCCAATATGGCTTGATGGTCGGCGGGCATTCCTTCCTTTTCTAGCATCGAGAGGAGCCGTCCCTGTAGATGCTTCATGTCCTTAGTTACTGTTCGCACCCAAGTATCTACGTTCTGGCATTGCTTTTGCAGCTCCTTCCTCTCCCTCTGTACTTTTATCAGCTCTGTTTCTAAGTTCCAGTAGCTCGTGCAGGCTGCTTGCCACACACCCTTTAACAGCCAGATCCAAGCGCCTTTGCCTTTCCCCTTTTTTTACGTTCTGCAGGCAGCTCTCCAATTACAGAACTGCTGCCAGATTTCTTGCCCTAACATCTCTATCCCAGTTAGGCTTGCCCCATGCCTCTTGGGTGAACTCTATCTCTTTACACCTAAAATCCATGTCTATCATGACTGGCTACATGTTACTGTATGTGAACCAATAACACGATCCTGCCGACTACGCCAATTCTGTCAGCCGATGGTCGGAGCAGTGAGGTGTGTGTGTGTGTGAGTTTATTATGCACCCGAGTCTTCAACTGCAAGGACAGGGTCCCTTGGCAGCAGGCAGCAAGGAGGCTGACGAGTGCCCCAAGTTAGTGCAGAGAGAGCTTATTACACCCGAGTCTTTAACGGCTAGGTCACAGGGTCCCTTTGCAGTGGGTAGCCTGTAATGCTGACGGGTGCCCCAAGGGTCTCTCCCATGGAGGCGACAGGACCCGAACGCCCAGCTCTGCCTGTGTCTGCCCCTATGACCAGCTCAAGTTCTTTTAATTGTGTTTGGTTCTCTTACAGCAACAAAACAAGACAGGTTAAAGTTTAAACAGTTACAAGTTTATTAGAGAAACTCATAATCATATGGTTACAATGGCTATTGTTCTACTTCTTAATTGCTAGCAAATACAGGTCTTAAAAAATGGTTACAAAAGAAAAGGAAAATAGAAAATAACAGTACCAAGTGACAGCTTAATCTTTAAAGTGCTCTATTCTATGCATGCACTAAAGCAAAGGACACATACAGGTACAATTTTTACCCCCTTCTACGTCTCTCGATTCCAGCATGTCAGGCCACGATCAGTCTGACTCATTATGGCCATTCTTATGTTCTTATTTTCTTATGAACCGTTGATAACTATCTCTTGGGCCCAACAATCTAGCTAGCTTTGTAACCATGTTACAGTCCATTTATCCAATGCCTGATTCCCTAACTGCTGGGAAGAATATTTTGGGAGACCGTATCATAAGCTTTGCTAAAGTCAAAGTATATCAATCGACTAACTTCACCAGCTCCATGGAGCCAGTTACGTCATCATAGAAACTAATCAGATTGGTCAGGCATGACTTGCTCTTGGTGAATCCAGGTTGACTATTCCTGATGATATTTCCCTCCTTCAAGTACTTCAAAATAGATTCCGTGAGGATCCCCTCTATGTTTTTTTTTCTGAGGACTTAGGAGAGGCTGACTGTTCTGTAGTTCCCTGGATTGTCCTTCTTTCCTTTTTTAAAGATGGGCACTACATTTGTCTTTTTCAAATTATCCGGGACCTCTCCCAATCTCCATGAGTTTTCAAACATAATGGCCAAAGGCTCTGCAATGACATTTCCCAACTGCCTCAGTACTGTTGGATGCATGAAATCCAGACCCATGGATTTGTGTATATCTAGCTTTTCTAAATCATTCCTGACCAGCTCTTTCTCCACCAAGGGCTGCCCACCTCCTTCCCATACTCTGTTGCCTAGTGCAGTAGTCTGGGAGCTGACCTTGTCTGTAAAGACAGAAGCAAAAAAAGCATTGATACTTCAGCTTTTCCCACATCATCTGTCACCAGCCTACCTCCCTCATCCAGTAAGGGCTCTGCACCCTCCCTGATCACCCTCTTATTGCTAAGATCTCTGTAGAAACCTTTCTTCTTACCATTCACATCTCTTCCTAGCTGGAATTCCATTGATGCTTTTGCCTTCCTGATTACACCTCTGCATTCTCGAGCAATATATTTATACTCCCCCCACGTCACCAGTCCATGTTTCCACTTCTCATAAGCTTCCTTTTTTTGTTGAAACTCACCAGGGATTTCCCTGGTAAGCTAATCTGGTCGCCTACCATATTTGCTTTTCTTACTGCGCATTGGGCCTTCCTGTAACATCACTTGGCCAACTTTCAATCAACTTCTAATATCAAAGGTGTCCAGACTCAAAGTTTTCATTCCCCGGAAAAGCCAATCTGGTCCCCTACCATATTTGCTTTTCTTACTGCGCATTAGGTCCTTCCTGTAACATCACTTGGCCAACTTTCAATCAACTTCTAATATCAAAGGTGTCCAGACTCAAAGTTTTCACCCATTATTTTCTTTCATTCTTCCTTATCGACTTCTCTGTCCTCTCCTCCCATTCTGAGATGCAGAAACTGCCACCTAGATTTTGACCTTGCACCTAAAAGCCTGATTTCAAATTAATTATTAACTATTGAGCATTGTATTACAATTATTCATGGTGAATGCTTTTAAATTATGTGATTGCCATTAGCTTGATCGCATCCTGGAGTACACAGCTCTCAAATCCAGGGTCACACAGTCCATTTCTCAATAACTAGACGTGTCATGTGGTTTTACAGTCAGTGATTCCAATCAAGAACCTTCTGCAGATGAATGCAACCACTTCCTCACGAAGCTCTTTGGTTTTGATTCCATACACGATAGGGTTGAGCATGGAGGGTATGAGGTAAATGAGATCGGACAAAAGGATGTGCGCAGAAGGTGTGATGCCTTTACCGAACCGGTACGCCAGAATGGAGAAGAGGCCAGGAGGATAAGCCATGAGTATCACAAGGATGTGGGCGGTGCAGGTGCTGAGGGCTTTCTGGTGGGCTTTTTTGGAGGACATTCGGAGGATGGCCCTGGTGATTAGCACATAGGATATTGCAATGACTGACATGTCAAACCCAGTGGCTACACATACCAACACCAACCCATACATTCTGCTTCCTGTGATGTCCCCACAGGACAACTGTGACACCGCCATTGTGTCACAGTACGTGTGGGGGATAATGCGATTGGCACAGAATGGCATCCGGCTCAGGAGCACAGAAAAGGGCACAATATAGAGAACAGCTCTTACCACACACACTAGGCCTAGCTTAGCGACTCGTGCATTGGTCAGGATGCTTGTGTATCTCAGAGGGTTACATATGGCAACACAGCGATCAATGGCCATTGTCACTAGGACACCAGAGTGGACAGTAGCACTTACTGGCACAAAGAAAGCCTGCGTGAGGCAGCCAGCCAGAGTGATACTTTTCAAATTGAACCAAAATATCCCCAGGGCCTTTGGGAAGATGGTGGTAGGTGTGATGATGTCTGAGACTGCCAGCATGCACATCAGCAGATACATCGGTTTGTGCAATCTCTGCTCTTTGGCCACAATAGACAGTACTGTGAAATTTGCCAGCAAAGCTGTTATGTAGAATGCAGCAAAAGGGATGGAAATCCAGATATGAGCATCTTCCAGGCCAGGGATGCCCATTAGGATGAATGTTGGCGGGTCATAGTGGGTGAAGTTGGAAGCTTCCATGAAAGAGTTGATGCATTAGTAGGGCACAGAAATGTACACGGGTCCTGTGAAGTGACAGAAACACAGAACAGTGGATTAGACACTTTCTAAAATAGTACCCTGAATATTGTAGAGCTATTAACAGTCTCCAACGGGGAATGGCCATTTTGGTGATATTTACAGACACTTTCAGATTATGTAGGTCATAGTGAAGTTGAGAGAAGTCCTCAGCAAGCTAGTTGAATGGGCAGCACACTGGCAGAGGAATTTCAGTCTCAGTAAGTTCAATGTGTTGGATCTTGGGACAGAAAAGCGTGAACTCAAATGTTTTAACAGGGTTCCAATTTAAGTGTATAAACTCAGGACAGGGACTTGGGCTTCATGGTACACATGGCTTTGGGAAACCCAGGTCACAGTGCCAACATGGACCTAAAATAAGCAAAACCGTGTGATCCAGGAGGAGAGGGATCGGAAATCTGACCTTTATGTTTAATGTAGAGTTTTCACACATTCTCCTATCAATTCTTCTTTGGGCCAAAGAAATATATAAGGCTCATGGAGAGTGTAATCAATCCAGTTACATAGTCCCCAACAGGTGGGTTTAGGATGATCTCATTGAGGCCAAAATTTGACCCCTAATGTTATCATTAGGACAGCTGAGTGCACAGTAGCACCTGCCTGAAAGAAAGCTGGGAGAGGCAACCAGCCAGAGTAAGGCTTTTCATATTGAACCAAAATATTCACAGTGCCCTCCAGCATATTTACCTCTCTCCCCAGCTCAGGGTCATGCATGAACTTAGTGAGGGTTCAATCCACCACGTTATCCAGGTCTTGAATAAAGATGGTGAATAAAACCTGCCCCAGAACCAACCCTTGGTGCATTCCACTTGATACCAACTGCCAACCAGACATCAAGCTGTTGATTACTTTCAGTTGACTTCCTTAACTTGATGGCAAGAATACTGTGGGAGACCCTATCAAAATACTTGCTAAGGCCAAGGTAGATCACGTGCACTGCGTTCCCTGTGTCCATAGAGCCAGTTACCTTGTCATAGAAGGCAGTCAGGTTGGTCAGGGATGACTTGTCCTTGGTGAATCCACGTTGACCATTCCTGATCACTTTCCCCTCTTCCAAGTGTCTCAAAATGGATTCCTTGGTGTGTACCTCAGCCTGTACCTACAGTCTCCAGCATTGCCCACCAGCCTGAGTTCAACCACACTTTTCCTCTTTAACCTCAAGTGCTGGACACTTGCCCATGTGTAACCCCCCACACCTCAAATTGCCTAATGCTGCTGCACAGTGGTCCCCTCACCTGGAACTAAAACCAGGGGTCAGACTCCACAGTGAGAGCTCATAGAAACAAGTCCCTAGTGTGGGTGAAATTCAGTGTCTGTCTGCCCTGGGAAAAGCCCTTACAGCTGGACCAAGTACCATTTCTGACAGATTTTTGCCCCATATCCCTAAAGGATCCCAAACGATTGAACTTACAACCCTGGGTTTAGCAGCTGACTACTCAAAATGCTGAGCTACTCCTCCCCCCCTGTAAAAAGCTGCCTATCTTTCCGGGGTCAAAAGGAACCTCAGCAGCTGCTCAGCGTGGGCAGGAACGGTGAGAGGGGCAGATGCAGGAGGAAGGAGAGAGGATTCAGAGACTAAAAGGAGCCAGCATGACTCACTTTCCTCACAAGGACACACAGCTTTCATGTACTGCAGCCTGTCAGACACCCGACAGAGCTTCCTGAGGCTACTTCTCTGTGCTGGGAATTGCTGACTTGGCTATGAACCTGTGGTGGGGTGGCTCATGGAAGGGGGGTGGTCAGCTTGGGAGACAGTGTCAGAGACAAGTCTGCTACAGTGTTTCCGTGTTCCATTACAGTCCGAGACACTGCCCTGTGGCCGGAGGAAATGCTGTACCTCTTTGGTTGGTACAGGAAGCAGGATGCCCGTTCTCTAGTTCACCCTGTCTCAGAGCTCCGAGCCATGGTTATCTGGAGATTGTACCCTTTTTCTTTCCTCCCAATGCAAACACACCCCAGCCTCCTGTTGAGATTCCAATGCTGCTTGCTTTCCTGGAAGCCAGAAATATGGTGCTATTTGTTCTGACTTTTGGATTTTTCTCGTCCTCTTCAGAAGCAGAGTTTTGGGGACACGGAGAGAGCAGACTCTTTCCTTTCCTTGAAAACTGGTATCCTAATAATTTTGAATCTTTAAACTCTAAGTTTGATTTAAGTAATTTCCCAGACAATTCCACTTTGGGCCAAACATGTTTAAATCTGACCTAAGAGATCACAGCATGTCTCCAGCAGAAGTCACGGGAGGCTTGTGGTAAGTGGACAGGAGGCTGCAGACAGGAGGCTTGGAGTAAGTGGATCTGTAGTTTCCTGGATTGTCCTTCTTCCCTTTTTTAAAGATGGGCACTATATTTGTCTTTTTCAAATCATCCGGGACCTCTCCCGATCTCCATCAGTTTTCAAACATAATGGCCAAAGGCTCTACAATGACATTTCCCAACTGCCTCAGTAACGTTGGATGCATGAAATCCAGACCCATGGATTTGTGTATATCTAGCTTTTCTAAATCATTCCTGACCAGCTCTTTCTCGACCAAGGGCTGCCCACCTCCTTCCCATACTCTGTTGCCTAGTGCAGTAGTCTGGGAGCTGACCTTGTCTGTAAAGACAGAAGCAAAAAAAGCATTGATACTTCAGCTTTTCCCACATCATCTGTCACCAGCCTACCTCCCTCATCCAGTAAGGGCTCTGCACCCTCCCTGATCACCCTCTTATTGCTAAGATCTCTGTAGAAACCTTTCTTCTTACCATTCACATCTCTTCCTAGCTGGAATTCCATTGATGCTTTTGCCTTCCTGATTACGCCTCTGCATTCTCGAGCAATATATTTATACTCCCCCCACGTCACCAGTCCATGTTTCCACTTCTCATAAGCTTCCTTTTTTTGTTGAAACTCACCAGGGATTTCCCTGGTAAGCTAATCTGGTCGCCTACCATATTTGCTTTTCTTACTGCGCATTGGGCCTTCCTGTAACATCACTTGGCCAACTTTCAATCAACTTCTAATATCAAAGGTGTCCAGACTCAAAGTTTTCACCCATTATTTTCTTTCATTCTTACTTATCGACTTCTCTGTCCTCTCCTCCCATTCTGAGATGCAGAAACTGCCACCTAGATTTTGACCTTGCACCTAAAAGCCTGATTTCAAATTAATTATTAACTATTGAGCATTGTATTACAATTATTTATGGTGAATGCTTTTAAATTGTGTGATTGCCATTAGCTTGATCGCATGCTGGAGTACACAGCTCTTAAATCCAGGGTCACACAGTCCATTTCTCAATAACTAGACGTGTCATGTGGTTTTACAGTCAGTGATTCCAATCAAGAACCTTCTGCAGATGAATGCAACCACTTCCTCACGAAGCTCTTTGGTTTTGATTCCATACACGATAGGGTTGAGCATGGAGGGTATGAGGTAAATGAGATCGGACAAAAGGATGTGCGCAGAAGGTGTGATGCCTTTACCGAACCGGTACGCCAGAATGGAGAAGAGGCCAGGGGGATAAGCCATGAGTATCACAAGGATGTGGGCGGTGCAGGTGCTTAGGGCTTTCTGGTGGGCTTTTTTGGAGGACATTCGGAGGATGGCCCTGGTGATTAGCACATAGGATATTGCAATGACTGACATGTCAAACCCAGTGGCTACACATACCAACACCAACCCATACATTCTGCTTCCTGTGATGTCCCCACAGGACAACTGTGACACCGCCATTGTGTCACAGTACGTGTGGGGGATAATGCGATTGGCACAGAATGGCATCCGGCTCAGGAGCACAGAAAAGGGCACAATATAGAGAACAGCTCTTACCACACACACTAGGCCTAGCTTAGCGACTCGTGCATTGGTCAGGATGCTTGTGTATCTCAGAGGGTTACATATGGCAACACAGCGATCAATGGCCATTGTCACTAGGACACCAGAGTGGACAGTAGCACTTACTGGCACAAAGAAAGCCTGCGTGAGGCAGCCAGCCAGAGTGATACTTTTCAAATTGAACCAAAATATCCCCAGGGCCTTTGGGAAGATGGTGGTAGGTGTGATGATGTCTGAGACTGCCAGCATGCACATCAGCAGATACATCGGTTTGTGCAATCTCTGCTCTTTGGCCACAATAGACAGTACTGTGAAATTTGCCAGCAAAGCTGTTATGTAGAATGCAGCAAAAGGGATGGAAATCCAGATATGAGCATCTTCCAGGCCAGGGATGCCCATTAGGATGAATGTTGGCGGGTCATAGTGGGTGAAGTTGGAAGCTTCCATGAAAGAGTTGATGCATTAGTAGGGCACAGAAATGTACACGGGTCCTGTGAAGTGACAGAAACACAGAACAGTGGATTAGACACTTTCTAAAATAGTACCCTGAATATTGTAGAGCTATTAACAGTCTCCAACGGGGAATGGCCATTTTGGTGATATTTACAGACACTTTCAGATTATGTAGGTCATAGTGAAGTTGAGAGAAGTCCTCAGCAAGCTAGTTGAATGGGCAGCACACTGGCAGAGGAATTTCAGTCTCAGTAAGTTCAATGTGTTGGATCTTGGGACAGAAAAGCGTGAACTCAAATGTTTTAACAGGGTTCCAATTTAAGTGTATAAACTCAGGACAGGGACTTGGGCTTCATGGTACACATGGCTTTGGGAAACCCAGGTCACAGTGCCAACATGGACCTAAAATAAGCAAAACCGTGTGATCCAGGAGGAGAGGGATCGGAAATCTGACCTTTATGTTTAATGTAGAGTTTTCACACATTCTCCTATCAATTCTTCTTTGGGCCAAAGAAATATATAAGGCTCATGGAGAGTGTAATCAATCCAGTTACATAGTCCCCAACAGGTGGGTTTAGGATGATCTCATTGAGGCCAAAATTTGACCCCTAATGTTATCATTAGGACAGCTGAGTGCACAGTAGCACCTGCCTGAAAGAAAGCTGGGAGAGGCAACC